CGTGCCCAGGACCTGGCTCCCAGGCCACGGCCAGGACGGGCCTGGGACATCTCTGCCGGGAGCGGCCCTCGTCGGGGGACCAAGAGAAGCGGGACCCAAGGGCCGCTCTGCCCCGCGTACAGCAGCCCCACAGCCGTGCCCGCCCAGAGCTCCTGCGCAGGGGAGGCTGCGCCAACCTGGACGGTTGCAGGGTCCATCTCCATCCGCAGAGCCAAGAGCTCTGCCCTCGCCTTCCCACAGGCTCCATCCCAGTCCCGGCCAGGGCTGCTCAGCCTCTCCCAGGGCAGGGTTAGCTACGGGGGGATGCAGGGATTGCACAGCAGCATGGGCTACGCTACAAACCACACTCAAACGACATCTCACAGGAACAACACTGACGCGGAGACGTGCAGAGCACCGACGGGGAGGACCCCCAGCCGTGGCAGACCCGGCGTGCTCCTCCGCGGCGGAGAGAACCCCCCAGAGGCTGCAACCGCCCCGCTGGTGCTTGTTCTGCGAGCACAAGCGCACAGAGCAGGTTAGTACAGTAACGCGAGGAACGTCAGACACACAACAGGAGGCGTTCCTTCCTCCTGCTACGCAGGGCCGAGCCTGCGGCACCGGCCCCTCCGGGCCCCTCGCAGCACACACAACTCAAAACTTCAGCTTGTGAATAACTTAACTAGGAACTGTACAGTCTCCTCATCTGAGCCAGTTCCACAGACGGGACATCCCTGGAGTCTGGGCAAGGGATAACTCAGGGAGTTAGACAGGGGTCCCTCCGGACTCCAGGGGCGGGAGGATTGGAGAGGAACAGGGTTAGAAGATGGGAATGTAGTTGTCGATCTTGGTCCTGTGGCGCTGGGCGATGCACTCTGCGATCCACACGATGTTGCGGCACTCCTGCTCCTTCAGCTTCACGAAGGCGTAGAAGACTCCGAAGTGGAACTGGTTGAGGAAGGCCAGCTTGTTCAGCTTCACCTGAGGAAAGCCCAGAGGAGGACATGTCACTTGTCCACCTCGGACGGGAGGAGCTGGCCAAGGCAAGCGCGGAGGCTGGAAGGCTCAGCGCAGGTATCCCCTGCTCGGCATCCCTCCAGGTCCTTGGGGCAGCTCTAATCTACAGCTCACGGCTCAGGAAAGGCTCTGACATTTGAAGGGGAAATATTTATACCCTCAGGTACTGTGAACATCTTCCTTTTTCATGGTTTTGCTATTGATGGATCAAATATCAACCAGCAGCCCCAAACTTGCCTCCCACACTGCTCTGATCTGTCTGGGTGAGAACATTCCCTCGCACCCTTTTCCTTCCCCCAAACTCTGCTCATCCACAGGGCTGGATAAGCTTGCTGCTACGCCCAGCTTTGCAAATGGCACAGGTAGGCATGTGCCAAGAAGCACCTTGGGGCTCACTCACCTCATGCTCAAAGAACCTGTCTTCAAGGGTCTTGTCTCCAGGGTTGCTGCCAGCCCCTTCAAACAGCAGCTTGTACTCCTGCAGGAAACATCACAAGAGGATACACCCTAAGCCCGCCAAGCTCAGCTGCGTCTGGGGGACCCGTGCGCCCAACAGACAGCCCAGCCACCACGTCAGGTCAGCAGAGGACTCAGAGAAGCCAGGAGTCTGCCCTGTGCGCACCTGAACGTTGGCAGCGGGACGCTGCCGAGGCTGCACTGCACACACGCCAGCTGCAGGCAATCCCAGACAGGCAGAGCACCTTGGTTTCAACTGTGACCTCGTCCAGCCAGAGATCCTACCCCTCTCTGTAGTGTGTGATTCTCAAAGCCAGCCTGTTGCTTTGAGCTCGCAGGGAGGATGATCAGGTACAGACTGGTGTTTGGGCCCTGCACCCACGAAACCTGGCTGCTTCAGCAAGGGGGCACCGAGCTCTCGGGGTCCCCAGCCATGCACGAGGGCAGCTGAAGGAACCCAGTCACATCCAAACGTGTCGTCCCAGGGCAGCGTCTCCCCTGCAACTGAACCAGAGCTCAGGGCTGGAGACATGGCACACCACTTCCCACTGAAGAGCCACTTCCACCCCCGAGCAGCCAAAGAGAGACTGTCATTGCTGCCATACCGACACCTCAAGGGTTTGGTGGCGATGGCAATCCCCACACCCTGGCCTCCGTACCATCACTGCAATATAGCCATGACTAACAAGCCAACGGCATCCTAAGCAAGCCAACGGCATCCTAGGCAAGCCAACTCCACCTTGGCCAAGCAGAGCCAAGAAGGAACCAAGAGCAGCAGCAGAAGACAGGCCCCCCTCTCTCCAGGCTGTCAATCCACAAGTTCCCCCAGATCCCCGAGAAGCTCCGATCCAGAGCAGGTCTTCCCACCCATCCCCACGGCCCTCGCCCCATAGCACTCACAGGGTAGTAATCAGCAACATTTTTGACTTGTTCATAGTCATCTGCTCTGGCCAGCTGGGCCAGGCCCTCGGGGTAGAGCTTGCCACAGTGTGGGAACAGCTTTGCTCGGTCCTCCTTGGACAGCTCCGTACCAAATGAGTTGATGGTGATGATGAAGGCCCGCCGG